TTTACTTTATTTGACATAAGCCTACTCTTCGAAGAGAAAAAATATTTTAGTACTTATATGTCGGTAATTATTTATGATTTAATCATTTAGTTATTTATGGAAAACACTGTTGGATGATTTAAAATGCTAGGAAGTCAATTAAAATATTTTAGATTAGCCTACATTTTATTTTAAAATATCGATTAGTGTCCTTTTAGTTAATTCAAATTAAAATAGTCAAGCGAATGTTAAAATTATTTTGGCACACGTGTACGCCAATAATGTCAACTTATGACAATTTTTAGTTCGATTTAAATATGCAAAAGCCTACTTTGGATAGTGATAGTAGAAAAAAATGTATTTGTATCATTAGAGCTACGTACTAATATTGTGCTGGCAACGCTGTCATAGAAATTATAACCTATAAAGTAGTTTAACACATTTTAAATGATCAATTTACACAGCTTGAAAACGCGATTGTTCGTTATGAGATTTGAACCAGTTTTATATGGCACGAAGTCTACGAACAATTCTGAGCTTGTTCACAGGGCAATAAATTCATTTTATAGCGATGACGTTTGTTTTATTTTGATGCAACTGATTTTAAGATGCATGTCCAGTGTGAAGGGTGTATTTTGTACAATTACTTCTGGATTTAGGGTAAAAGTAAATATAAATACTAGTTTTTTTTACAATAACACTGGAGCAGATCAGCGCGGCCTGTTTAAGGGTTCCTCTTGTCTTGATTACATTTTTACCTAAGTTATATCAATAGTAGGAATAGCATCTTCTTTTAGACGAACATAACATTTAGAACTTAAATTAAAGTGTTGTTTAAGTAAGTGCTTGGAACAGAATATTTAGTAGATACCCAAGAACTTTGATTTACAAAATGTATCCATTTCTTACGTTTTTCTGGATCCCGTGGAAATCTGCAATAAATGAATAAAATTCTGTTTATTATGTAGATATATAAATGTTGTATGCTAATTTAGAATGTACGAGGGTCATTCAATAAGTAAAGAGACAAATGGCTATAGCTCAAAACCGGTTTATTTCAATCTTTCAAAAATTAAGGCTATTTTTCAACATAATCACGCCCCACAGTTATGCACTTGTCCCATCTTTCTTGCAGCTTCCTAATTCCCTTGGCGAAGAATTCTTTCGATTTACCCCAAAGTCACTTTTGCACCGCTTACTTAACTTCCTCATTGTTAGCAAATCTTTTTCCACGTAGGGCATCTTTGAGTGTTCCAAACAGGTTAAATTTAGATCCCAAGGTTGCCAACTAACACCCCTGAAAAGATTGTACACATTCATTGAATAGTTTTAAAATTATAGAATTTGTCCCTTTACTTATTGAATGACCCTCGTAGTTTGTAATATTTACTTATTACTGTCATTGATAAGCAACCATTAAATTTAATTATTATTCTGAAAACTATATCAACATTTTATTTTAATATAACTCTGCACTGTGTTTATACTTACCTAAGAAATGTAATTTTTGACATTTTCTTGTTATCCACACCATTGTTACTTATGCAGTTGCCTTTGGCACACAACGTCATTGTTCTTTTTAATTTTTTTGAGACGAATAGTTTATATAAACGTATACAATTATTTATAATGAGATTAAATAATACATTAAAATATAACACAAGTGAAGGAAGTCTAGTATTAATATGACCGACGTGGTGATACTTTTGACCACGTGATTGTGTCTCCTTCCCTATTTTAGCCTTATGGCTGGTACGAACGGCAGCCATATTGATACTACCGATGTCATTTTTAGAATACACGTTTATGTAGCATCTTCTTCAATATTATAGTAAAAATAACCGGAACTAGGAATTTTTTTTGCAAACATAACTAGCGATTGTTATCAGAAACAAATCCTGAACTTGAAATATTATACTCAGCTAGCACAGACACGTGATTCTCACGTGAAATACACGTCATATTTTACGTTTAAATCACCAAATTTATGACGTTTTGATAACGTGATTATGACGGCAATATGTCACAGATCAACGACGTCATACAGCGACGTGATAAATACGTCACTAACTCAATGCTTAATTTAATATCTGCAATACAATTACACATGTGAGTTTAAAAAGTGAGGTATTTTTTACATCTTTTTATTAATAATATTTTTGAGATAGCAGAGCAATTTTAAAAGCAGCTACCACATATCTTTTTCCCATTTTCATTGTCAAATTTTATGTTAATGTTTAAATTATCTGTATAAACGGTTTTATTTTAAAAACCCTAAATTTATGTTTATATTAGTGTATATGTTAATGATTAAAACAAAATTAGGCTAGCAACAGGCACCTTTACAATATAAAAAATCACTCACCTTCGGTAAAATATGTTCTGTAAATAGGAAAAAGAGTCAAATTTTCTCATGAGGAGTCGCCTTTTTTTAAGCTGTTCTTAAAAAATTCTTGTTGTTTACAAGAACCTCCTGCTCTTGGGATGTCTGCCGCTTTGTGTGGATTAATGATACTCTGCTGCCGTACTTATTGGTGTATTAATTTCCTATAAACATACTAAATATAAACAATAATAATTGCACTAAAGTTCCTTACTACTAACCTTCGAAAAACATGCAAAATCAAACGATAAAATGTTAGTTACAAATGCCGCGAACCTCGGATAATGACGTGACATCTGACATTTCCAAACAGTGTCGACAACATAAAATTTTGTATGAAAAGGAAAATTCCTGAAAAACCCTAGATTTAAAATGTGAATCATAAATTAATAAACACACTAAACATACTTTTATTAATAAATGGAATGTAAAACAACGAAGGTATAGAATCTACATGTATTCGCGATTCAAGCTAAGTGATACGCCCTCTGAAGGAAATTTGTAGAAGGTCCGTATAAGTAGGATATCGTTCAGTGTTTCCAGAAGTAGCAAAACTTCGCTACGTCGTACGATTTTAGCTCTTGAAGAAGTGGATAAGACCTTTTATTTAAGAATCAAAATTTGTGTATGGTAATATGTTATCATACTCTATATTTATTTAAGGATTTTTTTATAAAACCGATTTATTATATTGATTTTTTTTTAATTTCAGTTCATTTATTAATTTTGTTTTAAAATCAATTCATCATTTGGCAACATTGGCGTTCGTGTTCATTGTTTACATTTTAATTTGTATCAATTACAATTCAAGTTTTTTCTTACTTTTTAGCTTTAAATTTGTTTATTTCTTATAGCATGTGATAGTGCTTATATTAAAAATGAAACCTGCGGAAACGTCCCCAGAAAATTGCAATCTATATGGTGTAAATGTCAAAATTAAAACTGAAGTATTCATTATTTTCCAACATGGAGACTACACAAGGAGCACGCACTCAAGTGTGGCATTTGCCAGAGTATGTCCGCGCTTTATCGTATAAATAAAGCTTTCTTTTTTCACCACTAGCGTCGCTAATTTTTCTTTTGTACCGGTGTGAATATAGAGGAATAAACAAATGTGAAGTTAGCGTGAAAATAAAGTAACCGATTATTTAATTAACGTAAACACGTGTCAAATGTTTTTAAATTAAATAAATATAATTAGAGTTATAATTAATTAATTAATTAATAATTAATTAGAATTATTTATTTTATTACAAACTACCGCCTCATTCTCTTATGCCATTTTGGTACTTATGGAACACTAGCATCCTCTTAAAATACTCTGTTTAACACAGTACGCTTGTTATACATGAAGTGCGTGCTCCTTGTGTAGTCTCCATGATTTTCCAAGTACAAGTCATAAAATTTTGATTTTTATGATAAATGGATATCTACAATATTGAAATTTTACAAAACTTTGTTTAGAATCAAACTGTAATCTTATTTTTTGACGGTTTTATTACCATTTACATGTATACAAAGTACTAGATGATTCACTTCATAATATAAGAATAAGTCTAGTAAGGTTTTTAAATAAGTTCATCAATAATAAACGTGTGGTACCTGAAATGTCCTTTAAACCACATAATAAAACATGTTCTGGGTTTAATGAATACATATTTCTAGATGTTCTTGTAGCAACCAATAGGTGAAAATTTCTAACAAATTAAGTCATACACATTATAAATATTATATTTATGCCGAAAGCACGAGACTTAAACTTAAATTAACACTAAATGAAACTCAAAAACACTATTACAATGAGAATATTATCTAAAAACAGTTAAAAAAATCACAAATACAAAATCCGCCCAGAACATCTCCTCCATATCTCCTTTTAAAAGGCACTCAGAAAGCTGCGCAGTGCGACCATTCTTCGTATAGTAAAAGAAAATCAAAGTATGTGTCCGACACGCCCAACATAGGGCGCGGCCATTTTGATTCCTATGACACAGTTTACAGATAAAGAATCAGATCGCTCACTCTGCGTCGACACTTTTGATCTCAATGTTCCAGTTTATACACTGCGCAACTCGGATAATACAATATATGACAACCGCCTATAATAAAACAGCAGTCTTCTGCGTATCCTGAATTTGTATCCATGGAGTGAATATTATTTTGGAACTTTCAACTGGTCCGAGTGAGCTAACTGATTCTTTAGCAATAAACTGTGACTTCAAAAATAATATTCACTGACACTGACAGCAGCAAGCAAAATATCAGGGTGAGGTTTTAATCATCCGCTTCTGCTTCTGGAATTGTCGGTTTAGTCGTTTTAACCTGTCAGATTAAAACAAGAAAACCGACAATTCCGAAGCAGAAGCGGATGATTAAAACGCACCTATTAAAAATATTGCGCCAAGATGTAGGCAACACGTAATAAAGGTTCAAAATGGCGGAGTTTTCTATCTCCTTTTAAAAGGCACTCAGAAAGCTGCGCAGTGCGACCATTCTCCGTATAGTAAAATAAAATCAAAGTATGTGTCAGCAGACTATAAAACTGTTGCAAATTGATCTGAAACAGATCCCGATCTGATTTTTTCTGCTTACCTTCTATTTATTTAATAATGAATAATAAAAAATCGAACTTTTGCGTCAAAAAATCACATCGACGTATTTAATCAAAATTCAACGAGATTATGACATAAACGACGTCCCTTGCTAGCTGGGTAGTTGAATACCGAAGTAATAGACAGAAATTTAATGTGTAAAAAATGCTGTCGTATATCATTACTCCAAAGTTTGGAGACATTTTTGGAGATTACTGGATACAAGGACCATTTTTCAGTGATGGGCATACATTGTGCGGTTGCATGTATGGCACTTCTGTCAGGATTCTTCTTGCCATTAAATTACTATTATATCAGCAGTCAACTATAATACATACGTGAAAATTCTTAATTAAAAAGATGCAGAAGATGATGACATATAATAATTAATGACAATGACAGCTCAATTGGATATTCGATTAGGGATATATTTCAAATTAAATACTAAATTTAAAGGTTTTATTTAATAATTACCCATCTAAGTCGTGAGTCAAATTTTAAATAACTAATTCAATTAAAGAAGTAATCCAGTAACCGAAATCGATCATAATTTCCTTTAAACCAATTTATCCGTATATCGGCAACCTAAAACTGACGAGACGCTCGCCTTTGTTTCAGATTATCCAAATCCCCGGTCTTCTTGAAGGATGGCGACGGAGGATAACGGCAATATTATGGCAGGACTATTCAAACCGACTTCGAGTAGCAACGAGGATCTCAGCGAATACACAGATGCTGACGAAAGCATTTCAGCTCCCACGGAAATTTTAGCGGAGGTAAGACAAAACAAGTTTTCATTAGTGTGCAAAATGTTAAAATCTGGAACGATTTAGTTGAATAACAACCGTTTGAAATGTATTGATTAATTTATAAATGTGCAGGATGGTTCATATAAATTATGATAGCATTAATTATTGATTATACCATACATTTTTAGAAATTCCTATCTATTAAGGTTCTTACACTTCGAAAACAAAGTTTAAATTGCATTCTGAAAGCTTTCGACACTTGTTTGTGCCTTCTTCTGCACTGCATTTTTTAAATTTTTGTTTAAAACGATTTGTTATTTAGTAATCAATATGAAGACTAGAGATAAGGAGGTGAATCGCCATGCTCAAAATACGGTCCCAAAAATCACACGTCAATTGAGCTTCTATAATTAACCGCATGGGCGCTGGTACGGTTTACGTAGTTCAAAATACATGGCTTCTTATGGGAATTATACACAATTTTGTCAAAATAATAAAAATAAACTTGTTTATAGCTAAATAAAGCATAGAACATACTATTATATTTATTTCTAAATAAGTCTTACATATTTTAATTGATACATTATTTACAATTTATTCCTATTTAAGTAAAATGCAAATTATTGATGATGTGTTGAAATTTGATGGGTAGGGCTAATTATTTTTCAATAAAAGCTAAATATAGGACTGAGTCTTAGTATGCCAGACACGATTTAGATGAAAATATTTAGTTAGGAATTTTACAAAATTTTAAGAAAATAATAAAAATTAAATTGTTTATTGCTAACTAAAGCAAAGAAAATACTGTTGATTTTAATTATTGTAAATAAGTCTTTGTTTTAATTGCAACTAAAGTACAGAAAATATTGTTGGTATTAATTATAAATGAGTCTTTATGTTAAACATTATTTACTATTCATTATTTAATTTTATCTAAATAAAATTAAAATTAGGTATGACCAAATTTGAAAATTTGTTAAATGGTGAAATTTGGTAAGAACAGTTTTGTGGTAATTTTGTATTCGACAACTACAATTTCATCATCCTGGTGAATAGTTTCTTCAGCAATAGGTTCTAGTATTTTCTTCCTTTTTTTTATTCTAACAAATTCAGTTCGGTTCAATGGTGGTTTTCGTCATTTCCTAATATTGGACAAGTATTAAGGGAGATTCGGGAATATACATGTTATTGCTTCGTTCTTTTTCCCTTTTTATTTTGTTAACAGTACCATTAGTTAAAATAGTCTCATCAAATTTTAAAATATCTTCTAAAAAGTGTAGCTCGCAAACAGAATCATAACTAGACAGTACTTCATCAGCCCTAGGAATCACATGCTGCCATTGTTCTAAACGTTTAGGATCCTATAAAAATATTTGCAATGACTAAATTGGAGTAAGTTAAATTTAATGTGTAATTATTGTTGTTTGTAAGTCAGGATTTATGGCTTTAATATTTTTTATTACAGAATTTTGTAATTAAATAAACTACACTCAGTACGATACGGGTTGTGACTATTTTACAATAAATATATATTATTTAGAAATAAATACATTATTTTACTTACACTAGGAGCTTTAAAAAGACTTGGATTTTTATCTCCTAGTGTTTTCTTTAATTTTATACCGGATTTATATCCCGTTTTTCAACCCGGAACGAAGCAAATCCTGCTTTCCCGTTTTTGTTACTCATTGTTACTTGTAGTCAGGTTCATTATTTCAGCTTATTTTTATTATTTTCACTAAAATTACAAAAATCACTTTAATTCCCATTGACTTGCATAGAAAATTGACGTCGTTATTTTGCCACCCGCCAACTACAGTAGTAACTCCATAAAAATAGGGACGAAAATTTGAAATTAGACCAAGGCCAATTCGCCTCCTTATCTCTAGTCTTCATAGTGATCAATAAATTCTTTTTCTACGATCACTATCCAAAGTAGGCTTTTGCGCTTCGAAATACAACCGCAAAGTTAACATTTCCGCGAACTGACATTAAGTCGCTGAACGACAAAGATGACAACTTTGTTGCTCGCTTAAATTAAATGAGCTATAATAAATTAATAGTTATTTTTATTGATTTGTATGCCTATGCATAGAAATTTCTTTAACACAAGAGAGATCTCAGTTAACAAGGGATGTTCGCAATCATGTGGACCTGGGTGGTTGATGTCTTTTATGGAAGTTATAAAGAGAAAACTTATATGCACAAGCATTTGCAAGCGATAGTTTATAATCGTAATAATCGTAGTAAGTGGTAAATATAACCGGTAAATGCCCGGTAAATAACCCGTAAATAACCGGTAAATAACCGGTAAATAACCTGTAAATAATCGGTAAATATAAAATAAGAACAATTGTAAAAAACTAGACTGTGTGACCGTAGCCATCCTCTCTAAAAATTTGGTAGGTAGATGGTAGGATGAAGGGTTTATAGCAAAAACAGCACGTGTCAGAAAATTTAATTTTTGAGGTATAGGCAACACTGCCTTCAGATAATCCATAGTTATCGGTAGGTAATTTTATTTCCGACAGAAACAATTCATATTACCCGTAAAAAGCCTATCGAAATATAGCTTGTTCCGCTAAAACAGCACTTGTTAGTGACATGTGCTGTTTTTGCGGGAAATCGACGTCGTAAGAAACTGTTAATAATGGATTTACAGCCAGATGTTGTTCCGTTAAAAAAACCGAGAAAAGTACGAAATTCTATTATTATTTGTGACAAAAAAGTTAAATGCTTAGAGCATGTGAACTATAAAGGTCGTTTAATACCAAAAAAACGTCTGGGCGAAGATTGTAGGCAAGTTTTTTCAATAAATCTTAGTTTAAACTTTTTTTAACCTCAAAATTTGTTACAGGTGTGCCTGCTTTAAATGTTTTATCTGGGCAAGAAAAGCAAGCTGTATTTACAGAGTTTTACAAAATACAGTCAAAAAACCTTCAAGACCTGCATCTTTGCGGGTGGACCCAATCAAGCAAAGAAGATCTCGTAAGTCGAACAAAAGAAATCTGGTACAGTATTCCAACTCATCAGAAGATGAATACGCTAGACCTAATGATTATGACCATGCCGCAGCTTACAGATACAAGGAACATACAAAGCAGATTAATAATAATAAGTATTATTAGAAAAAAGTACCTGTGTGTAAAAAAGCTTTCCTCAGTCTACATGGTATAACGCCGGCCAGACTCAGGCGACTACAGTCAGTCGAGTCTTTGCAAAAATGTAAAATCCCCATTGACAGGAGAGGCCAACACAAAAACAGAGCGAATGCTTTACCTGAAGAAATGGAAAATCTAATAAAATTACACATTAGATCCTTTAAACCTAGGCAGAGCCATTACTCCTTAAGAGAAAATCTGAAGAGGTATTATTTAGATGAAAGATTAAATGTGCGGCGCATGTACAAGATGTTTTTAGAAGGGTATAAGATTAACGTGTCTTATAAAGTTTACTGGTCAGTCTTCTACTCTAAATTTAACATAAAATTTGGCTTGCCAAGAATAGACACATGTTTAATTTGCGATAGTTGAGGACTAAAAGAATCTGCAGCAGAAAATGAAGATTTAAAGCGTTCAGTAGCATCTGACAGGAAGGTTCATTTAAGAAAGGCTCAAGCATTTTATGTCTTAAAAAAATCTTGGACAATTAAATCTAAAAACGAAGAAGCCATGATTGTCTGTTTCGATTTTATGCAAAACCTTCCTCTTCCACATATGAGAGACAATTTGGCCTTTAGATGCCGTCAACTGTGGTACAACGTTTTCGGTGTTCATAACTTGGCAGATGATAGAGCCTCAATGTATGTATATACTGAAAACATTGCAAAAAAGGTCAGAACGAGGTTATTTTATTACTTTACCAGAGTATTTGATATAACTTCACCGAAGTTGATAATTTTCAGTGACGGATGTCCAGGTCAGAACAAAAATTATGTGATGATTCACTTTTTCTTCATTTCAGTTCACTGTCTGAAGTTGTTGAAGATATAACTTACATTTTTCCTATGCGAGGTTATTTGTTTCTTCCAAACGATCAAGACCTTTTGATCATCTCTAAACGCAAAAATGTTGAAACCTTCCCCGAACACTGGCTTACCATTATTAAAACTTGTCGTGAAAAGCCCTCACCTTTCGACCTTCATAAAATGTAGCAGGAAATTTTTTTTAACTTTAAGCAGGCGACTGACAAGTTCTTTCTAAAAAAACCGAGACCCGCTGTTCAGTTAAAACATCTACGTATGTTTCGCATTCAGTCATGTAATAGTTTCTTAGAAGTACGAGATACTTACTCAGGCATGTAGAGACAAAGTATAATAAGAAACAAAACTGCATTATCAAATGAGTTACATCTAAGCCCATTGTACCAGGGTCCAATCCCACTAATTTCAGTAAAGTTAGCAGACCTGCAAACACTAAGCAGTATTCTTAAAGAAAAAAAAACATTGCGCACTTTACGACTCTCTAATTCTTGGTAACGGTGGTGGCGAAGACCAAGAAAAGCCCGATATAGACGAAGAGGATAATAGTAGCGCTTACGGTGATTCTGAATAACAAAAACAATATTTTTTTATGTTTGTTCTTATTTTAGTAATGTTTAAGGTTTCGAAATAATTTGATATTTTGAAGTTAACATAATAAAGGTGGTCAGTTTCTGTCAACAACCACATTTGTCAAAGAGAAAACTCAAAGTACTAACTAAATATTTTGTTTTCTTTTAAAACTAAACTGTTCCTAATAAAGCCTATAGTTTAATTTACCGATCTAATAATATTTTACGTGGGTACTGCTTTTCGTGTTTAAGATATTAGGTTTTTTTAACTATCCTGAAAATGTTGATTTTTTGACAAATGTTTTTGCTATAAACCTTTCGATTATATCTACCTGTGGTACAACTCGACGGTCCCGCTTTGAACTACGAAAATGTGGTAAACAATAAATAAGCAAATTTTTCCTGTGATATTTTAATCTAGCTCTTTTTACACTCGCTATTTTATCATTACTTTTTTACGACAACACTCCATTTTTCCTGGCGCTATTTTATCTAATCGCTTTTTGAGAGTACGCTATTTGTTCTTGAGTTGTTTTATCCTGGCGATGTTTCTTTTGCGATACTCTGTCCCACGCTATATTGCCTTGCGCTATTCAGTGGCAGTGCCATTTTTATTTTACACTAATTATTTAATTTTTTTTCAGTTTTTATCCGCCGTTATGTTGAAGGATTACGTGACAGCACTTAAATACTGCAAACTAAGTAAGTATTGTTTTAACAAAGGGGTTTTTTATAATATGAGTTTCTTTGGCTTTAAAACCCACGTCTGGGATAAGGGGAGAACTTATAATATTAACACCTCTTATACAGTATGTATAGGTTCTAAAATCAAAAATAGGTCGGTTAGACGTAACTTAACTATATACCAAAGCGATTAAAAAATGTTATACCCTTTTAAAGTTAGAAATGGAATTTTTCTTTATTACCTCTGAAACGGTTTTACAATAATTATCATGAATATAGAAAATCAGGAAAACAGTGCAGCCCTTTAACATTTTATAGATGTGATTCACTAGGCTCCATCAATTTTTTGTATATTTTAGAAATAGGTTATTCTTGTGCTACCATTGCTTTAACACTTTAATTATGAAACTTTTTTGTCGGTACTTTTTCGAAAAAGCAATGTTTTTGTAACTTCAAAAGGTTATAACTTTTTTGTAACCAGTTTTAGACAGAATGCTCCACGCTAAACGGTAAGGCGCCTGATGGATAAACTACAAACGATATCGGCACAAATATACAAAGTCAACGGCAGCTTTTCATAAGCAACAGTGCCAGTTTCACGAAATCTTCTTTGCTGGGGTGCTCTTGGAAAAGAAACCTAAATTCTAGATTTCATACAGTTTTTTAAACATTCCCCAAAATAATATTGAATACTTTGTCAATCATAATTATTATCAATTCACCAAAATTTAAATCACGGGTTTGAAATAATTAAAACTAAATAATTTTTTTTAGAATTATGCCCTACTTTTCGCGAATTAATTTATTATTGCATGGAAACTACTACTAATAAGTAAGAAATTAGTGGATAATGATATAGGAGACTTTTTAGCAGTAAGAAAAAATAAAATAACTCTTCTTCATAATGGATCTTCCAATTTCCACCGAAAATTTCTGACGATATGAAAATGAGTATGCTTTTTCCTTTTGATGTAATTCAATACCTGGTGAGGTATTAGCCAAAGGAGTAGTTGTTGTAAAAAAAGAAAAAGGGTGCCCATTTTAATATGACTATGGCTTTGAGATTTGTTTGATGTATTTTATATCTCGGTCACGTTTGAGTTTAAAATTATTTCCTTTTTAAATTTAATTTGCCAAATTTTCAACAATAAATTATACATACAGGGTGATAAACATCTAACTAGCAAATGACGTGAGCGATATTTTTGTTTTAAACTTACCATCAAATATATTATTCAGTTTTTTCACCATGAAAAGCTAAATTTAAAAATACATAGCGTTTGTATACAGTGAACAATTAGGGTTTTGCCATTAAAAAAATATCTATGACGTCATTCTTTCTACAAAAATCATCCTGTATGCATTAATTTCATTTGAAAGAATGCCCTAATGAAAATAAAATTTGATGGCTTCGAGAGTTTAATTTTTTTCAAAAAATATTCGTTTAATTTTTAAAAATTTATCCATTACTTTACGAAAGCACGTAGTATTTTAAGGAAGCACTTATAATGAACAAGCTCTATGAATTCGGCTTTCCATGTCGAGTCCAAAAATTGAATAATATTTACGGTGTCCCAATTAAAAAAATTGCCGTTGACGTCATTTCTCATATGTTCGTCACTATGTATAAGGTACCTAAGCCAATTATTGCCACCCTAAGGATTTTAATTTTTTTATTTTAACATACTCAACTAGATCAACCTGTACTTTATAGAAAACATTCTACAGCATGTCTTCTAATATGGAAAGTATGCCATTTATTTGTAATTTTCATTTTTATTTTATTTTAACATTTTTTTAAAACATTGCAAAATGACAATATTTAGAACAGATAACCCAAATATTGCCATGTAATATCGCAGTGCTAGGAACATCACTGAAAACACTGAAATAAAGAACAAAACTTTATTTACATTTACACTTAATCATATAGTAAATGCTACCCAGGTACAAAATAAAAAGGAATCTTCTTATAAAAAATAAACTAAAAAGAAACATTCTTATAAAAAACTAAATAAAAAGTAACATTCTTGTTAAAAAACTAAGTCTAACAATCTGGACAAATAAACATTTCTTTGTCGGCCTTAAATAGACAGACACATTCTTCGTGAACATATCTTTTACATACCGAGCACAACCTCATATCGATTTGCCTTTCTGTTTCGCATAGGAAACAGAACCAAGAGTCAACCACAAGCAAAGATTATTTATGAAGCAGATTCTGCGTGTTCCACTTTCTTTGAGGCCAAGTTTTTTTGCGTGACTTTTTTTGGAGCAGAATTTGGCTGAGAACTGAACAGATTTCTCGTTATTTCTTGGGCCCTTGAATTAATAGCAGGCTTTCTTTGTGACGATGCAACTTTTATCTCAGGAGTAACCAAACAACCCATGCCACTAAACGACTTATCCAAATCATCACCAGTTAATTCTTTCCTCCGTATCATCTTCTCATGAAGCAGACATTAATTTAATTAGTGGTTCGTTGTCACTTTCTGTGAAGAAGTCATTATCGAGGGAAGCTTCTGAATCCGATGAATCACTTTGGAGGTAAGCAGTATGTTTTTTATTTTTGGTTATTAATGAATTTACTCCACTTGATCCGGGAATAGGATTTGTTGGCTCAGTAATATTAGATTCATTTTTATTTTCATCTATTCTTGTTACGACGCTGGGTGCAAACGCGGTTTCTGGGATTGTATCGGGAGCAAAAGGATAGATGCCTGTACTTCTAAATCCAGAGAGTATATTGGACGGTGTCATTGCTTTCAACCACACTTTTGAAAATATTTCTCCAAATCTTATTTTGGTTTTAGCTTTTCCAGGTTGTATTGTTAAAAAGTTCAATACTTCCTGATCCCAAAATACTTCATAGCTACGAAAAACTGATTTGTCCATGGGTTGCAACTCATGCGTGGTGTTACTAGGTAAGCCAAATAGAGTGATTCCGTGATTTTCGGCAGCATCAATAGATGCGTCGAGGTATGACTTGGCCCCATCAAAAATGAGAAGTGTTGGTCCTGGGTTCTTAAACATGGCAAAATGGTCGAGCCAGGAAATAAAAGCTTCGCTGGTCATGCTTCCTTCAATGGTCATGTTGATCTTGGATCCGGGGGTAAATGATCTGCCCATTCGGGCTTGAAACGTTTTCCTTAATGCCCTAATACATTTCGACATGCAACTATGGTTACATTTTCACCATATTCAGGGGCCACCAAGTGGACACGCTTTACACCCTTTTTCGCCAATAAATTCTTTTGTTTATGAATCGTGAGGCGACAACCTTTCTCGTCCATGGTTTGTCGAATAACTCCAATTTAGTGTAGGCTTCCTTTAATTTATTAAAATAGTCAATAACAATAAATGTATTTATTTTCTGAGCCCTAGCAGGGTTCATTTGCTGCGCCGTACGTCTCACAACATCAGGATGTCTCTTGAAAAATAACTTCAGCCACTTTCTCTCTACTAATTTTGATGCCTGGGAAATGGATTAGGAATGTTACATGGCGAAAGAGTATACACTTCATCTCACTATGTTAGGCGTGACTGGCATCCCAACATCTGCCAGCCGATATATCCTGCTTACTAAATCATTTTCTTGCGTTTGCTGATAAAATACTACATCTGCCAAGACGTTTCCTTGCATCATTTTTCCTATGATGCTGCCCCAAAGTTGTTCGAGGAATTCGAAATATTTGCGAGGCTTTGCTGGTGCTTAATCCGTTCTTTATGGCTATAACCGCTTCTTTAAGGTCTTCTTTCGACCACTCTGCCCTCTTTTTCTTTGGCATCTGTAAAAACAACAATAATTATTATTTTTAACCGACTTCAAAAAAGCAGGAGGTTCTCAATTCGTCGCGATATTTTTTTTTATGTATGTATGTTCAGCGATAATTCTTTAACACGTTGTCCGATTTCAATAATTTTTGTTAGAAAGGGGCTACTTCAGGGGTGGTCCCATATAAATTTGGTCAAAATCTAATAATTGGTTCCATGAGAAAATCCTCAAACTCTTCATTGTTTATGTATGTTTAGCGATAATGCTTTACCACCTTGTCCGTTTTATATGATTCTTTTTTTGTTAGTAAGGGGGGTACCTCAGGGGTGGTCCCATATAAATTTGGTTAAGATGTGGTGATGGCATCTGCACGTTTTTGAAGTCGGTTTTTTTAAATTTATAATTTCTAATACTTGTTAATTGTAGCAACAATCGTTAATTATCCAAGATTTTCACAGGTACTTAATATTGCCATCTTTGAGCATGGGTATATCGCATATTTTTTGCCTCTGTAAATAACATAATATTATATTATTAATTTATTGTTTACAAATTATTTGTTTTTTGCATAATATTATTATAAATTAAATTACATAAAGCAAAAAAATTAAGCCAAATATTACCATGGCAATATTAGGCACTTGTGAATGTACTAAACAACTAACAATTTCAGGAAACACCTTTGAAATGAACATAACAACACTACAGCAACAAAAAGTGTACCTTACTTACCTTGTGTGATTTTTTGCACTTTTTATTTAAATTTTTAAGCCGATACGACACCAAATAAACGACTAGTTTTTTTATAACGGACGCAAACAAAAAGCGGTATCTACAGTTCTGGTGCTTTGTGCAAACTGAGCACTTTTCTGGCCCGACCAATTATTAATTGATTTTATTCCTAAGAATGTTTTAGTACTTATACCAGCCGAAAGATTAATGACATTTTGGTTCGGCTGGCAATATTAGGAACATGGCAATAATTGGCTCAGGTACCTTAGATAACTTTTTGTTAAAAATGTGGCAAATTGCAATTAACAACCAACCTGTTTCGGAAATTTATTTAAAAATTGATATTTTGGCTAAAAATTAATTTACCGATATTTACCAACACACTATATTCCATAAAGTTGGATTCATGTGGGATTTTTTTTTTATAACGTTTTTTAAAAAAATGTCAATGTATTCATTCACCTCTGTGTTTTCATATCCCATATTAAAGTTGACTACATACCGCATTAGT